CGGTATGACCCCATTTGAAAGCAGAATAGATCTGACCTCTTTATTGTCAATGCTTGAGGAAGCCTTTAAGAACTTCACTAACCTATGACTTCTTTGCAACAAAATAACCATAGAGGAAATGCATGTAACTGTCTTTGAACAAAACTTGAATGATTCATCAAAAGGTCCGCGCACATCCATCGAAATCAGCTCAGCAGGCCTCGTCGATTTTTCCTTTGTACCAAAAAGTATACGATGTACCTATCCAAACATACATGGTTTACAAATGGCATTTCCTGTCTTAACCTCAATTTTTTTTTTTTACCTTTACTTTGAGATGTCGTTTGTCTTGATGACCCAATCCTTTGTGATAATGTTGAAGTTGGCAAGATTTAACCTCAACTGCAAGATTTACACTGGTATTAAAGGGTTAATAGCTGCTTTGTATAAAGTGCCATTGACTTCACGAATTCCACAGTTTCCCTCCATTATTTATTTTTAAAAAGAATGCATAGGAGTTGACTCAAACTTACTGTTAATGTTTCGATCTTAAACAGCTAAAACAAAACAGATTTTTAGAAACTTTTGGTACATATCAGACATCATTCAAAGTCATTTCTTCACTTGTTATCAATTGTTGACAAGATTCGAATCGAACCTTTTTCTAATGCATCTAGAGTTTCTTGTCCAGCAGTCCTAATACTGCAGGGACTTCCAAATGGTTCGAAACTAACAACATGCCAACTGTTATTTGTGATATGTTTCGTCGCACCATTGTCAATCCACCAACTGTTAACATCCACTAGTCAACAATGCTAAATTCGTAACCACAGTTTTGTTTACATCCTTCTATGTTGCATTTTTAGGCGGTCTTCCATCAGCAATCCATTTCTTGCAATGTTTGATATAATGGTCTGTCGTCTTACAGTAATAACATACACCTTTATTATTAAACTTCTTTTTAGTTTATTTACCTTCAGAATTTGATTTTGCTATTAATACTTCTTGTTTTTCACTACCTTTTGGGTTTTCAAATTAGCATAACCGTTCTTTCATTTCACCAAACGTTTTATTGTTATCTTTAGTTAATAACATCCAGCTTGATTTGAATGAATCAAAACTTGCTGGCAAAATATGTAACACTGTACATACTAATATCAATTCAGGTAAAACATTTTCTTCTTTCACCTTAAGCCCATTATTCAGCTCGTTCCCCCAAACCTGTCACCTTTGCAATAGTATGTGTTGAAACGCCCTCTCCACGAGTCCAACTGAATGCAAAGAAATTTGTACATATATTGAACTGCTGATCCTTGGAAGACGCTTCGAAATTTTTCTAATGCCTCCCACGCATCATGTGCCGTTTCTTTCTCCATGATTAATTTTGGGGAGTACTTGACATCACGTTCCTTGGACACTTTTGAAATATTGGAAAAAGTGATTCCAACGTTTTTGTTTAAATTTTGTTATTGGATACTGTGAAGGACGTTTAAGAGATTGCAAGAATCACGTTTGTTAAAAATTAGAATTTTTCGAAAATTGAAAAAATTCAATTTTTTTCGGCGTCTTTCTACAATTACAGTTATGAAGATGAACATTTTTGTCCTAATGAATTCTGTTAATGGAAAACATCTAAAAAATTTTGTTTAATTTTTGATAAACATAAGTGTTTGTTGCGAAATTTTGTGTCAAACAGGCAATTTTTATTTTCTGTACACCAATTTTTTTCTTAAAAAGTTTTTATTAAATTTACACCTTAAATAGCGTGTGGAACACTTAAGAGAATAATGCATGTCTCTTGTTCGTTGAAATGCCTCATTTTTCGAAAATTCAAAAATAAAACATTTTCGGCGTCTTGCTACAACTACAATTCTGAGAATACTTTTTTTCTTAATGAAATGAGTGTATCAATAACAGATATTCAAATAAGGTCTTGTTGAATTTTTTCAAAATGAATATTATATGTGTAATTTGGCGATAAACAAAAACGCCCGCTCAGAATTTACTGCACTGCGTCTTCGCGCGCTTCCTACAAATGTAATTGTGAAGATGTAATTTTTTCTTAAAAAATTTTTAACAGCCAATGCAAAAGCACGACAATCATGGCAGTCACATTATGCTATTCCTTGAATGCCTGAAGATGGGGAAAAAATCAATGTCCATATGTATATACACACATATGATATGTATATACACACATTAAACTACAGCCAATGTCAACAGGCATGTCAAGCACTACCTGTGGTATATATGTATATATTTCTATATTTAGACCAATGTATTCTATATTTAGAATTTAGAAATCTGTATTTAGACCATGTCCTCAAAAATCACAGAACAAACTTTGACTATACAATGAAAAAAAAAACTTTTGTTTAAAACTATGTGTTTCTTTGTTATTTCAAATACCTTTTTAAACTACAGTCTGTCAAAAAATCTGTGGCCAAACTCATCAAAAGTAAGAATACTGAAACTGTTTGTCGAGGTTCTGAATAAGAATTGAGAACACTTTAAATTTATTTGTTCCAAATTTCCTATTCTTTCAGAAGCATGCTTAAAGAAAGCACCTTTTTGGGACCTCAAGTTAGAGATCTGATAATGAACACTTCAAAACTTTAATGAGTGTTGTAGAAAGACTGGTCTGGTTAGGTTTCAAAACTGTCTCCATGTGTTTTACAGAAAATAACAAACATCCAAATTCAAAACCATTCAGTGAATGAAATGCAAATGTCTGTGAAGAATTTAGGATGTAGCATGAGCTCCAAACTTAATTTTTTCCACAACCACCTTCATTTCTTCCCCGATTATCTGGGGAATTTTAGTGATGAACATTGCAAGAGATAAAACGATATCAAGATACATGGGTTGAAACAATGATGACTACAATTTAACTATGAAACAACAACCCATACTATGAAACAATGGGCCACTATTTAAGTGTGTCTAAGAAAGTGTAGAAATGAAGCTAGCAAGGAGGCACAGTTTCATAAAAAAGTGTTAACAGAGACTGACATTGCTAGAATAATTATAATATTATTAATTATGTTTTGACAGTTCAAAGCATTGACTGCTCAAGCCAGGAATCAAAAATGGATATATGGGAATATACCCAGTTGCTCTAACTTTTTTAGCCACCAATAGAGTTAACCCTTCAAACAGCAGGAGATAAGAGCCTCTGATGATAATCTATGATGATGATGATGAGCCTACAATGATCTCTATACATTTCACCATTGTCACAATTACATCAGCTACGGGTTCGCGTTGGTTCCCATTCAACTGTTAAACGTCCAACTGCGTCCAAATGGTCAAATGTATAGTATAATATCGTTAATGTAAGAATGTTTTTAATGTTCATATGATGTGTACTGCTTGTGTATATATACTTTTTATTTCTTCAGTGGAGTTGTGTATAGTTTATTCACTATGTATTCTAATACTTTCATAAATCAAGATTTTTTTCATTTACTAATCTTTTCTTGGAATGTTATTCTCATGTTAAAATCATTATATGATAGAAGAAACTGATTTCATATTTATTAAATGCTCAAATGAGATCAATCACCCATCACAACCAAAAGAATTTTAAAAGACTGTTTTATCGCCCTGTGCTATGTAAAGGAAGCATAAATCTTAAATGTTAAACAGCTTTATCTGCCACATTTTGTCAAAAAGTGGTTTGAATATCCTAAGTTTACCTACACACCTGTAAGAAGATTTTAAAAGAAATGAATAACACATGAGAATACAAAGAAATTTGGCAAAGTTTAAAAACAGAGAAATCTAACAAGTTAGCATGTTAGATTTTTGTTTAGATTTTTATGTAAATGGTTCCCTAGGCTGTTATTTAATATTTGCAAATAAGAATGCATTGTTTTGATTTACAAACTCCATTATGTAAATAATAGAGGCATTTTGTTGAGCCTTCAAAAGTTCTCTTAATTAAGTGCCATGAGGTGCTGTCAGGCAGTTTTTTTAATATATTGTGCATTAGGATCTTTTGAAATGTTTTGCTCATAAAAGTAAGGTAAATGAAATAATTTAAAATTTTCTAAATCTATTATAAATTCCAAATTTATCTATCTAAATCCATTGTTATGCAAAGATTTATAATAATTATTAATCTAGTAGGTCAGAAGAAAGGCCTAATCTATTCAATGAACAATATAAATTAAGTCAATTGGAAATGAACAAAATGAATTGAATTCCTAGCACCAAAATCTGACAGATATGATTTTTCTGAAGGTTTTTACACCTTTAAAAAATAAAATATACTCGTAACACATTTTTCATAGAAATATAACCCACATATATCATTGAAAAATAATTTACAAGATAAAAAAAAACAGGTTTTCTTTAATTGAAATGCACAATCAAGAATGTTTAGATGTGTTAAAATACTACAAGTAGTAATCACATCTGCAATTTGAACACACATCTGTCTTCAATGTTTTTCATAGAGTATAGAATGGACAAGTGGGAAGAGTCCAAGAAGAGTCCAACAATCTATATATAAGGTTACATCTGGTAGATTGATCTAAGGTTATCCATAAATTTTAATTCTCAAAACTCAAGAATGAGAAACAGGTCTAAAGAACAAGTCTCAGAGAAATCAGTGAAGCTGCTAGAAGTAGACTTAGAATGTTAGAATGTGATATGGTTCTCTGAAGAGAGGTGTTATGGTTCTCTGGGGGATGTATGGTTCTCGGAAGTTGTGAGATTATTGCAACCAAAAATTTCTGTTTGTTTTCTTATAGCTTATCCTGCCTGTAAGTAATATACTTAGGATGAACTAAGCATTTTGACAATTTACAAGAAACCATCAACACTAGACCCTGAAAGTGTGATACTACTAGATAGTAAATGTCTCCAAAGCATTCTTCACCCAAAAATTTAAGATGAAATCAGTTAGACATAAGAACAAATTGCATCAACACCATAATCATGCACAGCTCAGAAAGGATGAGTCCTAGGTTCTTAAAACCAGGTTTTTGTTCCCTTTAAGCTCTGTGAGTTTTGAGATGACAGGTGATTTTTTAGAGGGGTATGCATTTAGGGTGACAGGTGGAGGAATAACAGAACAGGGAAAAAGTATGGCCAGGAAATTGTGGGGGCAGATAGGGCTTATATTATATTTCTTAAGCCCTATTCTACAAAAAAAGACATCAAAAATTTTAGAACTACATTTTTGGAAATTTAGCTCCTCTGGGGACCCTTTTCTTTAGCATGGATTGTCAGAATATGAGCAGTAACTAGTCATCTAGGCAAAATTAAACTAAAGGAATAGGGATAAATAACAATCTACAAAAAAAAATCATTAAACTATTTGATTTTCTGTGAAATTTAATCTCAACTTTTTCATTATTAGAATACAATACCAGAGTCTTGATGCTGCAACACACTAGTCTGTCTAAGTTAGGATTCAATAGGAAGCTATTTTCATTTTCAAAACAATGATTTGTGTAGGGCATAATTTCACAAGGGTCCAGCTAATAGGCTCCATATTTAATATACTAATTTGTGTGTGTGTGTGTGTGTAATACCCATACCCTTAAAATATTTACAAATACCTCTTATAAACACCTCAACCTACCAGAATATTTAGTTTAAAAACAAACAAAACAAAAAAAAATTAAAAAACTACAACCACTACAGACCAAATGATAATAAACACAAATGATTGCAGCTATTCAGATGTTGTATTCAATTTAAGACTTTAGTGACCACATAAAGCAAATTCTTAAATTTGAAATGGACACCAAAAAATATTAAAGAAACACTTTACTCAAAAACTTGAAACTTCTCTCAAAAAAACCTGGACAAATTTAACTCTCTTGTAAGTTCAGAAAATTGGGATGAGATGTACACAGCAACAGACACAACTGTCAAATTTAACTTGTTCATAAACATATTCCAGTTATTTCAATACCATTTCCCTCAGGCACTTAAGAATATAAAAAGCAAAAAACAAATTGTGGATAACCAAAGAAATCAAAATATAACGTGAAAGGAAATGCAATATGCATGGAATAATCTTTCATAACAAAACTAGTGTTGATTTTGTTGCTTACTACAGAACAAATGAAAGTATTCCAAAGTAATTAAACAAGCCAAACTATTAAGGAATGATACACACTTAGCCAAAGCATAAAAACAAAAGCACAAACAAAACAAAACACAAAGAACATTGAACTTCACTACAAAACTACTGATTGCATAACCATTAGGAAGTAAAAAACACTTCATTCCATAAACATTTCTGAGAAATTGGAGAAAAATTTATTCAGCACAGCTCTTTAGATAATATTATAAATAAGCTATGCAGCCAAATACCACATCAAATGTTCTATCTCTATATATCACTGAAACATCTCCCTCAGAAATACTAAAAATCATAAATCAAATTTTAAAAAATCTCTACAGGACTGGATAATATTCCTGACAGACAACATTAAACATACTCCTATATACAATACATACCATTCGCTCACATTTGTTACCACTCCTTAATCACAGTATCTTCCCAGAAATTCTCAAACAAGTAAAGGCTAAGGCACTATTAAAATAAGGTTACACTCATGACCTTATGAATTACAGACGAATATCTTTACTATCTGGATTTTCAAAAATTCTAGAATAACTTTTCAATGATATACTCTAAAATTTTCTCAATTCAAATAAAATACTGTTAGATTCCCTACATGGCTTCAAAAATGACAAATCTATAGTGACAGCTATCTTCTTCTTTCTAAATGATATATGCTACTTGTTGCTCTAGATCAGAAAGAAAATCGTATTGGTTTTTTTCGAGATTTATCAAAAGCATTCAACACTGGCCATCACGGTACTGTTATCAAAACTTGAAACTTAGAGAGTTAGAGGCATTGCACATCAATGAGTTAAATCTTACCTTTCAAATCTTTGAGAAGAAGCCACAATTAAGTACATTACAGATAACACGATTTCAGGAATCCCCGCTTTAAAGAAAAGGCACCAGCTTTATTGGTCTTACAAAACTGTTAGTAAGACCCCAAAAAAGTTCTTTCCTTGGACTGACTAATCAAGATGACCTAAAATGGAACACATTACAGATCTAAATAACAAGCGTATCAATCCATGCTATGCTATCTACATCCGTAAGTCAAATTCTATCTGAGATACAATACAAAGAGTATACTTTGCAAAGGTTCAATCACAATTAAAATATGGAATCATTGTGGAGAAATTCAGCAGAAAGTATTCACACTTTCATCATTCAAAAATGAATACTATTGAGAACACAACTCACACTCGCAAGCATGAGTCCTGCAAACCACTGTCCAAAAACTTACAAATCCTACCACTCCTATGCATCTATAGCTTACATATTTAAAATAGTAATCTCCACAAAGTGAATCCTTGTGAATAGTGTGCTGATTTTAATGAAATGTCATTTTTCTTTTTACTTTAGAACAATGCTGTGTGGTATATAAATTCATTTTATACAACTTTTACAAATTCATTTCACAAAATGAAACAACCCATTTTTATGTCATTTTTCTAAGATTTCGACTAATAAGTCATTTTTTACCTTTTTATGTCACTTTTAATGCATTACTCACTGGTGTCATCGATTTTAATACCATTTTATTGGTAGTTACTTCAAACAATATTAACAAAGTGTAACAAATGTTCACCGCAGATAATCTGAGTAGCGTATTTGATTTCTTCGTTCTTATATTGTAATGCCATCCGTTGTGAGTACTACGAAATGTAAGAATCCTATAATGCCTATCGACTCGTAATCAGTCCGCAGATTTCTCGATAAATAAAGGCAGAGGTTTTTTTTTAAAGAGCAGTCCAAAGCAAAAGTTTGCAGGCTGAGTTCAATTAAACAATAGGAAAATGCCTTGATTGCTGAATTCTGAAATGGTTATGATTTTTTTTTCACATCGTTTTTCTTTGTTTTAGGGTATATTTAAAGCATTTTAAGAGCATTTTATTGACCATTTTTGCTGTTGTTTTAGGTCATCAAAATCCGCCACTGCTTATGAGAAACAAGGATTCTGTTACTCAAATTGAAGAAGTTCATAATTATGACACTAAACCAAAAAAAGACGTCTGCATGTCACTCTTTCAAAAAAGTACCCTAATAGAAGGCATTACACTACATAACAAACTACCAATTGAAATGAAAATTCCAAATGTGTACACATTTATAAATAAACTGAAAGATTCTCAGTTAAACCATCATTCTATAGTACAAAGATATACATATATCATAAACTTGCAACTGCATCAATATAAACGACAAATAATTTAATTCTTTTAAATTTTTATACAATTTTTTTTTATGTTCTGATCCATGTTTGACATCCCAAAAAATGATCAATGGACATTCTGCAAGGTTTCATGCCCATTTGAAAACTTTTTTCTTTCTTCCTTTCTTTCTTTCTTTTTCATTGATATTTTTTTAAACTACTTCCACAGCCACTAATTGAATTAATAGGCATTGTAATGTAATCTATATTCTATTGTATTATATATTTGTATTGTACTACATTTGTTTCTTTGCAAATTACATTAAAATTTTCTGCATTTTGTACGTTATAAAATTTCCATTTAATCTGAATTTCTGGACTGTATTTAATTTTCTGAAATATCTGTATTATACTTACATGATTATGTACGTACAAGTATCTTCACCCTAGCTTTCATGGGATGGGTAGGCGGGGGCTTGTACTGTGTGTTGTGTGTGTATATATACTCATATCTATTATTTATACTACTTATCCTATATAGTATTCTACCTTATATATATCTACTCTAATATATATATCATATCTAACTATATATCTCTGACACAACTCACACACACACAATATAAGGGGTAAGTTTTGGTAACACTGAATCTGCGCTCGATTAGCACGCGCTCCGGTGTCTCTTGTTTCTGCGGTTTGGGGATTCCGGTGGTTAAACTTCGCTGTTAGAATAATGATCACTGATTGTTACGTGGAACTCACAGTGTGTTTAATATCTAGCGAAATTATTCAACAGCTTATACACATATAAACCTGAATGGCGGCTAAAGCTGACGGTATAAACTGGGCAGATCGTTTCTTCGTGCTACAGTCCGAGAGGGCCACCACCCGTAGCGCTTAGCGGCCGGCAGTGAAACGGTACTCCGCAAATTGAAATCCGCCATGAGGCCGTGGCAGACAAGCGCGCGGAAATCAAATATTGCGGCGTCATTTGTTACATTCTTAAAAATTTACCATTTTTTATTTATTTAGGGTAGCAGGAACATGTTTCGAAAATATTTATTTCGGAAACGAAGTTTTAAAGGAGACTGCCATAAATGTAATCAAATGAATTCGCTGGGTATATTTTCAGAGCTTCAAAATTTCCTTCCTACGCTTCTGTTCTGTCTCAATAACCTGTCATGGCAGTTTTCGTTATTAATTTTTCTTTGATTATCATTTTATCATATTCCGTTCCCTTATATTATAATTCTAATCATCGGTTAATTTTCTCAACATTTATACAATTTGCTATAGATTTAGTTAAAATGCTACTACTTGCATCACAAATTATCTCCGTGCACATTACTTATCCCTCACTTTCGCACTTCTCACTCTATCTACATCAAAATTATCATATTCAAATACACTTCTACATTACTTTGCAAATATTCATTCTCGCCTCGTGTACACTCATATCCGCTTATGCTATACTTTACTTAATTTTTCTACTTATCCAGCTACTCCTGCATTTAGAACGCTAAACTTACACCCTGGATTTACATTTAAGTTTTCATTTTATAAAACCTTGAACATTCTATCTGCGAATATCCATCTTTCTCTATATTCATACAGAGCGACCCGAGCTGTATGAATGCCAATGTATTCTACAAACACTTACCTCACAATCACCTGTTATTCATCGCGGATCTATGATCAAAAATCTTAATTTCATAATTAGACTACTGTAACAGTTTCTTTCCACAATGCAACATACATGTCATGACACCGGGCCTTCAGGAGATGTTATCAGATCCACCACACGCGCATGCCCTTCT